CAAAAGTGGTTTACTATGTTGGACCTGAGTCTAGATCAGTCAAAAAAACAACAGGAGACAAGTATTGGAGATTTAAATTTCCTTACACAATTGATGGTCTGACTGATAAAACAAAAATTAGTAAAGTTGTTTTTGTTGCCACTTACAAAAGTGAAAAGACTGAGGTCCAAGATTCAACAGAAGCCAACAAGCTGATATTAACAGTTAAACAAGCTAGTTTACTAGCTATGGATACTTTTGATAGGTTGGCTGTCTTAGCATTGGGAACAAGTGTGCCTAAGACCTTGTTTACAACACTATCTGGTGCAATTTTTTCAAAGAATGACTTGTGTTCCATGTCCAAAGAATTGACAATTCAGTTCAATAAAGATTATACTGAAGCTACCGTTTTAACAATGATAAACAATAGTTGCCAGTCAAATGGCCATCATCTTGATAACTCCAATGCAGCTATAGCATTAGTTGCTGCTTGTGTAGCAACTAGGAATATCAAAGATGATAAGGTTAAGTTCTCGATAATCTCTAAGATTGGAAAACAATATGTCAAGAAGGGTAAGAACTTTAATGAAGTTACTTTTGATATCTTTGCTAAGTATGCCACTGGTGGTGTCCCTTCTAACATGGAGCCCAAAAAATTGATTGCTAGGTTAGAGGAAGTTCAAATCAGCACCAGACAGGCTGCTATTGCATCCAAAGATACTATGATGTCATCAACTATTGATGCTCCAACTAATGTAGTTGAAACAGCTGCAAGTGCCAGTACATCAACTACTCCAGCTGTTGGTGTAGGTCTTAATGCTCATGAAGATGCTAAGAAGCAAGCAAAGCTCCTTAAGGAAAGAGATAAAGCTCTCAAGTTAGTACAAAATGCTTTAGAAACAGCTAGAAAAGAGAAAGAAGCGTCTGATGCTAGAATACGTCAGTTGGAAAAAGAGAAGAAAGAAAGTCGTGATAATCAAGCTAAACATGACAGTAAGAAGTAATTTTATAGTTGTTTATAATTAGTTTAGATATTATAAATGGTTAAAGGTTTAATTTTAAGTTATAAGTTAAGGTTTAGATAATTAAGTTTAGGTTAAGTAAAATATTATCTCGAGATATAACAGGATTTATACAATAAAAAATTTCCATAAAACGTATAATAATTATTATAATTAAATAATTATTTTCCTTAACCTTTTCAAACGAAATCGACAAAATACTCTAACATGATGCATTAAAACTTTGACCATTTGTTTTGAACAAAAAGGTCCGCCTCAAGTAAGTACCTATTTGCTAAACTCTTGCTTATAAAAAATTCTAAAGATAAAAAATAACCAGCAAAAAGCACAAAATAGTTAGTCGGTTTCGTTTGGTGCAAGATTATTCTCGAAATTATTCAAATTATTGCGTAACTCATAGCTAAATTTCAATATACTACTCACAGTAGTACATACTCAAAAATACGAAGGGACAAAACAATTCAATACAATACCTACAAAAACTAAGGTGCAGCTCGGTACACAGGTTCTTAGTCACGAAAACAGCAAAAATACATACATCACCACACTCCGTAATAAAAAAATTATAAAACATAAGATCAAGAAACAACATTCGAGGCCCCACGTTCAAGGCGTCATTTTGTGTAACCTCAACTCGAGGGCTATGGCGAACGGCAGCTTTACAGTGGTGAGATGGGTCGATGGGCAAATGTTGTTTCTTAATACTTACGTGTTTTTACTAACATAAATCCAAAATTGGGCGCCAGTGTCTTATTATGGCCAGTTGTTAAAATCTAAGTAAGTCAGACACAATCTTACTAAAGACTAAGGGTGGTTATTAAAAGTCAAGTTTAAAAAAAATATAAATCAGTTATATTTGTTCACCGATGTTAAAATGATCACTTTGCATGTAATAATAAATATTATGGTGCACCCTTATATGGCCATATATGGTTTACAAAAACCAAAGTCTGATAACTGACAAAATATTATCGATGCTACAAAAAAAATATACTTAAAATAACTATGTTGAACTCTCAACTTAAAAGTACACAAACAAAATATATTATAAGGAGTGTAGTGTACGTGAACATTAATATTTAAAATTGGTACGACCTGTTCGTAGTTGGGGCCCTGGTAGACTGTGTCTCCGAATGGGTTGGCTTCCGATGTTGAAGTCTCCTACCATGTCAGATTATACAGGATGGCTTTTAAATAACGTAAGAACTTGCCATTATCCAAAACAAGTTCAGGGTAAAAAACCATTCCTTTATAACAAATCTGACATAAAAAGTCTTACAAAAAACTCCAACATAAAAACCCTAAAAAAAATATGGTATGATGCCCAAGCATCTAAAAAAAACTATTAACCACCTAACTTACCCTTGTTTAAAGGAGTTTTTATAACTATACAACGTCAGGACTGCATAAAGACCAAAAATGAGGGAATAACACAACCCTAAAATGGAGAACCTCGTGGATAAAACATTTAATTTCAGCAACAGGCCAAAAACTCACCCAGAGCTCATCGTACCAAACGAAAATTGTCTTGGTCGGAATTATACAATTAGATTGAGAGATTTACCACGTATTTTTGGAAATTTTCCATAATTTAAGCACAAACTTAACTCTCATCTAATCGCTTCAACAACCAAATCGAAAAGGACGCTTCACTTAAAATTTGTTGCGTAGTCAATTTAGTGCGTAGCTAAATTAATGCGTAGAAAACCTGCTGGAAAAATCGCGAACCCAATCTGGCTATGTTGCCTATGTTAACAAACATTTTTCAAAAGAATTCCCACCAAGTCCACCAGAACTCAAGCCTCAAACACAAATACTTAGAGAATTCCCCTTATTTAAATCCTAGTAACATACCCAAAAACCCAAATACATACCCTCCTAAACGCAATCATTTGGAAAATTCCCTCCACTGACACTAAATTGTCAATAACGGCAAACCAGCTACCAAAATATTTCATAATATTCATATGAATATATTAATTATAATTATCATTATAACTACATACAACCAACCTCACACGGAAGTGTTTGTGTTGCATACTATCAAATTACCGTTTTTGAATAAAATTAAAAGAACTGGCTTAAAAAGAGTTTTAAATACCGGCAATGCTATTCATGTGTCAGTAAAAGGAATTCCAATAAAACTAATAGATTTTCTTGGAAAGAGGCATTTAAAGAACTAAACAATTATCCTTGTTAAAATTATACTTAACAATTAGTAAAACTAAAAATAAAATACCGTGTACATCCATACCGTTCTAGATGTAAAAAAAAACTAATAAAATAAAATAAATGTGTAGCTGTCAAAATGACGGTTACACAATTGCCCCTCTCCAAAAAAATAAATAAAAAAAATAAGAAGTATTTTTTTTATTATTTAAACTATTTGGATCAAAAACAAAATTACCTCAAATAAATCCAAACCAAAAAAAATTTGAATGTGCGAGTTAACATAGACAAAAAAAAAAAAAAGTAAAAGTTAAATTGTGACAGATATAGAGGAGGAACGAAGCAGACCGCTGGTCATGCTACGCCTCTAAACCATAAGCAAGTAAAACGTCAGAAATGTAAATTTAAATGGCAAGCAAATTCTCCTTGAAGAGGAAGGATCCTGACAAACCCATTAATGCTGAGAACTAGTCCCAGAAACAAAAAAAAGGGAGGCAACCGGTAGTCCTGTGTCTGAAACAGGCCAGCCCTCCAACGAATGTCAAAAATGTAGCAATACATTATCGAAGGGACAATCGAAAACCTCGAATGTCCAAAATCAAAATTTGGTTTTATAGTAATCATTTTTACTATAAACGTACACAGCCAAATGGCTATTATACCAAACGGTATAACTCGTGGTAACTCAGTATGTGGTGTTTAGCAAGATGTTGTTCCATCACCACTTGGATGGGTTTTAGCTACAGGCCGTACGATCTCGCAATGAATATCGTAGCAACATTTGTTCAATGTTGGCCTGACGGAAAAGTCCTGAACTACTTTAAAAAAAACTTAAAGGTAGGGACAGGTTTTATGCTAGGTGATAATTAACGCATATCAAACGCCTAATAGGGTCAAAATCAGTAATCAAAATCAGTAAAAGTCAAAATCGGTAATTACTTAAGCCAGTGGGGGGGGGTCTATAGCATAAAACATAAAGTGGGGGAATAACTTCCTCAAGAAGTAAAAAAAAGGATTTGAGTTACCACATACACGGAAATTTAAACATAACTTAACCTAACTTAAAGATGACAAAAACAAATCTAGATATCTATATACAAAATACTCATGAGCATGTCTTGCTCCACAAGTCGACATCGCTGCCTCACCAATAAGGTGCGCAACGACAAAAACAAGTCTCCGTTAAGACTTGACGATAATCACCAGTAAGGTGCAAAAAGATAATAGTAAGTCACTAGTAAGACTTACTATTCGATACGATACGATAATATTATAGAAAGGTCCACAAAGCAAAAATTTTTAAAATGACCTACTCTATAATGAAATGAAACTTTTGTTAGCCATGAGTTACACCGATACGAGCAATTCACGCTCCGATACTGAATAATTTAGAAACATGGTTAATATAAAAAAATTACTAAAAACAACCATGATTCGAAAGTAAGCAGCACGCAGGGACAAGGTTAATGTATCAAGCATTTCACTTCGATATCAAAAGAAGTAATCAAATAGTAGTTTCTGTAAAGATAGTGCCACTTGAAGAAGTTAGCTATAATAAATTTATTAAAATTTGTGAATGCTCAGCTTTGTATACTGATAGTATAACATTGCGAAGCATAGAAGGTTACGTAAGTAACAAGGTTTGGATGCAAGTATCTAGAAGATACGAAGATATATATTTAGAAGAGTATACTTGTAATAATAGTGATAATCTTAGCTTAGATATTGATATTATTATCAATAACATTAAGGAACATTTTAACTTCGAAATTACAGAGTTAAGGCATCATATAGAGTATTCTATTATTAAGTTAAATAATAATAACAGCGATGCCTCATCCAACATCAGTATCGCAAGACGATGTGGCCAAGGCATATAATCTCAATGTTAATGATTATAACAGTTCCTTAGAAGTTTCTGGGATAACTCCTTTGCAGCTTAATGAACATTCACAAAAAGCAACTTACCAAATGATTGGTATGACCCCCAAAGACTTCATTACAGATCATGGAGCAATAGAATTGGACTTCAAAGAATTACAAAGGAAATTTAAATCTTATTGTCAAGATTATATGGAAACTATTAGTGTAGATACCAAATCACTAGCTGTTGACTTTTGCGCAAAAGTGGTTTACTATGTTGGACCTGAGTCTAGATCAGTCAAAAAAACAACAGGAGACAAGTATTGGAGATTTAAATTTCCTTACACAATTGATGGTCTGACTGATAAAACAAAAATTAGTAAAGTTGTTTTTGTTGCCACTTACAAAAGTGAAAAGACTGAGGTCCAAGATTCAACAGAAGCCAACAAGCTGATATTAACAGTTAAACAAGCTAGTTTACTAGCTATGGATACTTTTGATAGGTTGGCTGTCTTAGCATTGGGAACAAGTGTGCCTAAGACCTTGTTTACAACACTATCTGGTGCAATTTTTTCAAAGAATGACTTGTGTTCCATGTCCAAAGAATTGACAATTCAGTTCAATAAAGATTATACTGAAGCTACCGTTTTAACAATGATAAACAATAGTTGCCAGTCAAATGGCCATCATCTTGATAACTCCAATGCAGCTATAGCATTAGTTGCTGCTTGTGTAGCAACTAGGAATATCAAAGATGATAAGGTTAAGTTCTCGATAATCTCTAAGATTGGAAAACAATATGTCAAGAAGGGTAAGAACTTTAATGAAGTTACTTTTGATATCTTTGCTAAGTATGCCACTGGTGGTGTTCCTTCTAACATGGAGCCCAAAAAATTGATTGCTAGGTTAGAGGAAGTTCAAATCAGCACCAGACAGGCTGCTATTGCATCCAAAGATACTATGATGTCATCAACTATTGATGCTCCAACTAATGTAGTTGAAACAGCTGCAAGTGCCAGTACATCAACTACTCCAGCTGTTGGTGTAGGTCTTAATGCTCATGAAGATGCTAAGAAGCAAGCAAAGCTCCTTAAGGAAAGAGATAAAGCTCTCAAGTTAGTACAAAATGCTTTAGAAACAGCTAGAAAAGAGAAAGAAGCGTCTGATGCTAGAATACGTCAGTTGGAAAAAGAGAAGAAAGAAAGTCGTGATAATCAAGCTAAACATGACAGTAAGAAGTAATTTTATAGTTGTTTATAATTAGTTTAGATATTATAAATGGTTAAAGGTTTAATTTTAAGTTATAAGTTAAGGTTTAGATAATTAAGTTTAGGTTAAGTAAAATATTATCTCGAGATATAACAGGATTTATACAATAAAAAATTTCCATAAAACGTATAATAATTATTATAATTAAATAATTATTTTCCTTAACCTTTTCAAACGAAATCGACAAAATACTCTAACATGATGCATTAAAACTTTGACCATTTGTTTTGAACAAAAAGGTCCGCCTCAAGTAAGTACCTATTTGCTAAACTCTTGCTTATAAAAAATTCTAAAGATAAAAAATAACCAGCAAAAAGCACAAAATAGTTAGTCGGTTTCGTTTGGTGCAAGATTATTCTCGAAATTATTCAAATTATTGCGTAACTCATAGCTAAATTTCAATATACTACTCACAGTAGTACATACTCAAAAATACGAAGGGACAAAACAATTCAATACAATACCTACAAAAACTAAGGTGCAGCTCGGTACACAGGTTCTTAGTCACGAAAACAGCAAAAATACATACATCACCACACTCCGTAATAAAAAAATTATAAAACATAAGATCAAGAAACAACATTCGAGGCCCCACGTTCAAGGCGTCATTTTGTGTAACCTCAACTCGAGGGCTATGGCGAACGGCAGCCTTTACAGTGGTGAGATGGGTCGATGGGCAAATGTTGTTTCTTAATACTTACGTGTTTTTACTAACATAAATCCAAAATTGGGCGCCAGTGTCTTATTATGGCCAGTTGTTAAAATCTAAGTAAGTCAGACACAATCTTACTAAAGACTAAGGGTGGTTATTAAAAGTCAAGTTTAAAAAAAATATAAATCAGTTATATTTGTTCACCGATGTTAAAATGATCACTTTGCATGTAATAATAAATATTATGGTGCACCCTTATATGGCCATATATGGTTTACAAAAACCAAAGTCTGATAACTGACAAAATATTATCGATGCTACAAAAAAAATATACTTAAAATAACTATGTTGAACTCTCAACTTAAAAGTACACAAACAAAATATATTATAAGGAGTGTAGTGTACGTGAACATTAATATTTAAAATTGGTACGACCTGTTCGTAGTTGGGGCCCTGGTAGACTGTGTCTCCGAATGGGTTGGCTTCCGATGTTGAAGTCTCCTACCATGTCAGATTATACAGGATGGCTTTTAAATAACGTAAGAACTTGCCATTATCCAAAACAAGTTCAGGGTAAAAAACCATTCCTTTATAACAAATCTGACATAAAAAGTCTTACAAAAAACTCCAACATAAAAACCCTAAAAAAAATATGGTATGATGCCCAAGCATCTAAAAAAAACTATTAACCACCTAACTTACCCTTGTTTAAAGGAGTTTTTATAACTATACAACGTCAGGACTGCATAAAGACCAAAAATGAGGGAATAACACAACCCTAAAATGGAGAACCTCGTGGATAAAACACTTAATTTCAGCAACAGGCCAAAAACTCACCCAGAGCTCATCGTACCAAACGAAAATTGTCTTGGTCGGAATTATACAATTAGATTGAGAGATTTACCACGTATTTTTGGAAATTTTCCATAATTTAAGCACAAACTTAACTCTCATCTAATCGCTTCAACAACCAAATCGAAAAGGACGCTTCACTTAAAATTTGTTGCGTAGTCAATTTAGTGCGTAGCTAAATTAATGCGTAGAAAACCTGCTGGAAAAATCGCGAACCCAATCTGGCTATGTTGCCTATGTTAACAAACATTTTTCAAAAGAATTCCCACCAAGTCCACCAGAACTCAAGCCTCAAACACAAATACTTAGAGAATTCCCCTTATTTAAATCCTAGTAACATACCCAAAAACCCAAATACATACCCTCCTAAACGCAATCATTTGGAAAATTCCCTCCACTGACACTAAATTGTCAATAACGGCAAACCAGCTACCAAAATATTTCATAATATTCATATGAATATATTAATTATAATTATCATTATAACTACATACAACCAACCTCACACGGAAGTGTTTGTGTTGCATACTATCAAATTACCGTTTTTGAATAAAATTAAAAGAACTGGCTTAAAAAGAGTTTTAAATACCGGCAATGCTATTCATGTGTCAGTAAAAGGAATTCCAATAAAACTAATAGATTTTCTTGGAAAGAGGCATTTAAAGAACTAAACAATTATCCTTGTTAAAATTATACTTAACAATTAGTAAAACTAAAAATAAAATACCGTGTACATCCATACCGTTCTAGATGTAAAAAAAAACTAATAAAATAAAATAAATGTGTAGCTGTCAAAATGACGGTTACACAATTGCCCCTCTCCAAAAAAATAAATAAAAAAAATAAGAAGTATTTTTTTTATTATTTAAACTATTTGGATCAAAAACAAAATTACCTCAAATAAATCCAAACCAAAAAAAATTTGAATGTGCGAGTTAACATAGACAAAAAAAAATGTGAAAAGTTAAATTGTGACAGATATAGAGGAGGAACGAAGCAGACCGCTGGTCATGCTACGCCTCTAAACCATAAGCAAGTAAAACGTCAGAAATGTAAATTTAAATGGCAAGCAAATTCTCCTTGAAGAGGAAGGATCCTGACAAACCCATTAATGCTGAGAACTAGTCCCAGAAACAAAAAAAAGGGAGGCAACCGGTAGGTCCTGTGTCTGAAACAGGCCAGCCCTCCAACGAATGTCAAAAATGTAGCAATACATTATCGAAGGGACAATCGAAAACCCTCGAATGTCCAAAATCAAAATTTGGTTTTATAGTAATCATTTTTACTATAAACGTACACAGCCAAATGGCTATTATACCAAACGGTATAACTCGTGGTAACTCAGTATGTGGTGTTTAGCAAGATGTTGTTCCATCACCACTTGGATGGGTTTTAGCTACAGGCCGTACGATCTCGCAATGAATATCGTAGCAACATTTGTTCAATGTTGGCCTGACGGAAAAGTCCTGAACTACTTTAAAAAAAACTTAAAGGTAGGGACAGGTTTTATGCTAGGTGATAATTAACGCATATCAAACGCCTAATAGGGTCAAAATCAGTAATCAAAATCAGTAAAAGTCAAAATCGGTAATTACTTAAGCCAGTGGGGGGGGTCTATAGCATAAAACATAAAGTGGGGGAATAACTTCCTCAAGAAGTAAAAAAAAGGATTTGAGTTACCACATACACGGAAATTTAAACATAACTTAACCTAACTTAAAGATGACAAAAACAAATCGTAGATATCTATATACAAAATACTCATGAGCATGTCTTGCTCCACAAGTCGACATCGCTGCCTCACCAATAAGGTGCGCAACGACAAAAACAAGTCTCCGTTAAGACTTGACGATAATCACCAGTAAGGTGCAAAAAGATAATAGTAAGTCACTAGTAAGACTTACTATTCGATACGATACGATAATATTATAGAAAGGTCCACAAAGCAAAAATTTTTAAAATGACCTACTCTATAATGAAATGAAACTTTTGTTAGCCATGAGTTACACCGATACGAGCAATTCACGCTCCGATACTGAATAATTTAGAAACATGGTTAATATAAAAAAATTACTAAAAACAACCATGATTCGAAAGTAAGCAGCACGCAGGGACAAGGTTAATGTATCAAGCATTTCACTTCGATATCAAAAGAAGTAATCAAATAGTAGTTTCTGTAAAGATAGTGCCACTTGAAGAAGTTAGCTATAATAAATTTATTAAAATTTGTGAATGCTCAGCTTTGTATACTGATAGTATAACATTGCGAAGCATAGAAGGTTGACGTAAGTAACAAGGTTTGGATGCAAGTATCTAGAAGATACGAAGATATATATTTAGAAGAGTATACTTGTAATAATAGTGATAATCTTAGCTTAGATATTGATATTATTATCAATAACATTAAGGAACATTTTAACTTCGAAATTACAGAGTTTAAGGCATCATATAGAGTATTCTATTATTAAGTTAAATAATAATAACAGCGATGCCTCATCCAACATCAGTATCGCAAGACGATGTGGCCAAGGCATATAATCTCAATGTTAATGATTATAACAGTTCCTTAGAAGTTTCTGGGATAACTCCACGCACTCTGATATGTGCAAATGATTGGTATGACCCCCAAAGACTTCATTACAGATCATGGAGCAATAGAATTGGACTTCAAAGAATTACAAAGGAAATTTAAATCTTATTGTCAAGATTATATGGAAACTATTAGTGTAGATACCAAATCACTAGCTGTTGACTTTTGCGCAAAAGTGGTTTACTATGTTGGACCTGAGTCTAGATCAGTCAAAAAAACAACAGGAGACAAGTATTGGAGATTTAAATTTCCTTACACAATTGATGGTCTGACTGATAAAACAAAAATTAGTAAAGTTGTTTTTGTTGCCACTTACAAAAGTGAAAAGACTGAGGTCCAAGATTCAACAGAAGCCAACAAGCTGATATTAACAGTTAAACAAGCTAGTTTACTAGCTATGGATACTTTTGATAGGTTGGCTGTCTTAGCATTGGGAACAAGTGTGCCTAAGACCTTGTTTACACCACTATCTGGTGCAATTTTTTCAAAGAATGACTTGTGTTCCATGTCCAAAGAATTGACAATTCAGTTCAATAAAGATTATACTGAAGCTACCGTTTTAACAATGATAAACAATAGTTGCCAGTCAAATGGCCATCATCTTGATAACTCCAATGCAGCTATAGCATTAGTTGCTGCTTGTGTAGCAACTAGGAATATCAAAGATGATAAGGTTAAGTTCTCGATAATCTCTAAGATTGGAAAACAATATGTCAAGAAGGGTAAGAACTTTAATGAAGTTACTTTTGATATCTTTGCTAAGTATGCCACTGGTGGTGTTCCTTCTAACATGGAGCCCAAAAAATTGATTGCTAGGTTAGAGGAAGTTCAAATCAGCACCAGACAGGCTGCTATTGCATCCAAAGATACTATGATGTCATCAACTATTGATGCTCCAACTAATGTAGTTGAAACAGCTGCAAGTGCCAGTACATCAACTACTCCAGCTGTTGGTGTAGGTCTTAATGCTCATGAAGATGCTAAGAAGCAAGCAAAGCTCCTTAAGGAAAGAGATAAAGCTCTCAAGTTAGTACAAAATGCTTTAGAAACAGCTAGAAAAGAGAAAGAAGCGTCTGATGCTAGAATACGTCAGTTGGAAAAAGAGAAGAAAGAAAGTCGTGATAATCAAGCTAAACATGACAGTAAGAAGTAATTTTATAGTTGTTTATAATTAGTTTAGATATTATAAATGGTTAAAGGTTTAATTTTAAGTTATAAGTTAAGGTTTAGATAATTAAGTTTAGGTTAAGTAAAATATTATCTCGAGATATAACAGGATTTATACAATAAAAAATTTCCATAAAACGTATAATAATTATTATAATTAAATAATTATTTTCCTTAACCTTTTCAAACGAAATCGACAAAATACTCTAACATGATGCATTAAAACTTTGACCATTTGTTTTGAACAAAAAGGTCCGCCTCAAGTAAGTACCTATTTGCTAAACTCTTGCTTATAAAAAATTCTAAAGATAAAAAATAACCAGCAAAAAGCACAAAATAGTTAGTCGGTTTCGTTTGGTGCAAGATTATTCTCGAAATTATTCAAATTATTGCGTAACTCATAGCTAAATTTCAATATACTACTCACAGTAGTACATACTCAAAAATACGAAGGGACAAAACAATTCAATACAATACCTACAAAAACTAAGGTGCAGCTCGGTACACAGGTTCTTAGTCACGAAAACAGCAAAAATACATACATCACCACACTCCGTAATAAAAAAATTATAAAACATAAGATCAAGAAACAACATTCGAGGCCCCACGTTCAAGGCGTCATTTTGTGTAACCTCAACTCGAGGGCTATGGCGAACGGCAGCTTTACAGTGGTGAGATGGGTCGATGGGCAAATGTTGTTTCTTAATACTTACGTGTTTTTACTAACATAAATCCAAAATTGGGCGCCAGTGTCTTATTATGGCCAGTTGTTAAAATCTAAGTAAGTCAGACACAATCTTACTAAAGACTAAGGGTGGTTATTAAAAGTCAAGTTTAAAAAAAATATAAATCAGTTATATTTGTTCACCGATGTTAAAATGATCACTTTGCATGTAATAATAAATATTATGGTGCACCCTTATATGGCCATATATGGTTTACAAAAACCAAAGTCTGATAACTGACAAAATATTATCGATGCTACAAAAAAAATATACTTAAAATAACTATGTTGAACTCTCAACTTAAAAGTACACAAACAAAATATATTATAAGGAGTGTAGTGTACGTGAACATTAATATTTAAAATTGGTACGACCTGTTCGTAGTTGGGGCCCTGGTAGACTGTGTCTCCGAATGGGTTGGCTTCCGATGTTGAAGTCTCCTACCATGTCAGATTATACAGGATGGCTTTTAAATAACGTAAGAACTTGCCATTATACAAAACAAGTTCAGGGTAAAAAACCATTCCTTTATAACAAATCTGACATAAAAAGTCTTACAAAAAACTCCAACATAAAAACCCTAAAAAAAATATGGTATGATGCCCAAGCATCTAAAAAAAACTATTAACCACCTAACTTACCCTTGTTTAAAGGAGTTTTTATAACTATACAACGTCAGGACTGCATAAAGACCAAAAATGAGGGAATAACACAACCCTAAAATGGAGAACCTCGTGGATAAAACATTTAATTTCAGCAACAGGCCAAAAACTCACCCAGAGCTCATCGTACCAAACGAAAATTGTCTTGGTCGGAATTATACAATTAGATTGAGAGATTTACCACGTATTTTTGGAAATTTTCCATAATTTAAGCACAAACTTAACTCTCATCTAATCGCTTCAACAACCAAATCGAAAAGGACGCTTCACTTAAAATTTGTTGCGTAGTCAATTTAGTGCGTAGCTAAATTAATGCGTAGAAAACCTGCTGGAAAAATCGCGAACCCAATCTGGCTATGTTGCCTATGTTAACAAACATTTTTCAAAAGAATTCCCACCAAGTCCACCAGAACTCAAGCCTCAAACACAAATACTTAGAGAATTCCCCTTATTTAAATCCTAGTAACATACCCAAAAACCCAAATACATACCCTCCTAAACGCAATCATTTGGAAAATTCCCTCCACTGACACTAAATTGTCAATAACGGCAAACCAGCTACCAAAATATTTCATAATATTCATATGAATATATTAATTATAATTATCATTATAACTACATACAACCAACCTCACACGGAAGTGTTTGTGTTGCATACTATCAAATTACCGTTTTTGAATAAAATTAAAAGAACTGGCTTAAAAAGAGTTTTAAATACCGGCAATGCTATTCATGTGTCAGTAAAAGGAATTCCAATAAAACTAATAGATTTTCTTGGAAAGAGGCATTTAAAGAACTAAACAATTATCCTTGTTAAAATTATACTTAACAATTAGTAAAACTAAAAATAAAATACCGTGTACATCCATACCGTTCTAGATGTAAAAAAAACTAATAAAATAAAATAAATGTGTAGCTGTCAAAATGACGGTTACAAATTTGAGAAATTACAATCTTCCAGAAAGTAGAAGCGATATAGCAGCTGTATTTTGTGGTGAAGAGCCGCTCTTTAATGTTGATCTTAAAATTTATCCGAAAAATGTTAATGCCGACAGAGTTGAAAAATTTAAATAGAATGTCAGATCCGGTGGTATACCCGATACTTCCTCCGAAAGCAGAATATGGTTACGACGCAGTTAAAGTAAAGAACAAGGCGAACGAAAACCATCACGATCCGAAAGTTTTATCGTCACAAAATCCAAGTTAGACGTAATCAGTTTTCAATTATTCATCACGCTGATAATTATTTCAGCAATATTTAGTCGATGCATGGTGCAGAGCGGAAGCAAACATTTTATGGTGGTACAAAAATAATCAACAAAAGCGAGAGAGTGGCTGGAAAACAGGCTATAGAAAGAATGCTGGAAGCTAGGGCGGCCGAGGAAAATTTAAGAGTCGGCAACGTTATCATGTTGCCGTCCAATTTTATCGGAGGACCTAGATTTCATTCTAGAAAATATTTGGACGCTCTCGGCAAATCCGATTTATTTATTACGATGACCTGTAATCCGCATTGGCCTGAAATAAGTGAAAATTTGGAAAATCGCCAGCAATGGCAGCATCGTCCAGACTTGGTAGCAAGAGTTTTTTCATTGCAAACTGAACGAGTTTATTGATGATATAAATATTAAACAGATTTACGGTGTCGTTTCCTATTCCATGTACGTCATTAAATCATTTGTGCCTATTTTCCCGATCCTGCTGCCGAACCGAATCTTTTTGCAATGATTGCAAGTATAGACGGAACACTGTATTATTGGAGAAGCATTTGGGGCAACCGGCATACAAGCTACCGGCCGACGGGCGAGGCACCGAGGTTAACAACATACGAGTAGACAATAGAAGAGTCATTCCTTATAATCGATATGCTACCATGAAATATCAATGTCACATAAATTTTGAAGTTTGCGGATCATTAAAGTCTATAAAATATTAACGTTTACAAAGGCCCAGATTGCATAACTACAAATGCAAAATAACGACGGCATTTTTAATTGGGACGAAATTCGACATTTTTTGATTGTAGATACATAAGCGCCATGGAAGCCTGCTGGCGGCTTTTTGAATTTAAACTTGGCGATCGCACCCATGCAGTGATGGCTTTACCTGTACACATGCCGGTCGATCATCCGATAAATTTTGACGGATTCGTTAACGCCGATGAAATAAGAGAAGCACTAGACAAACCCATCAAGCGAGGCAATATCGATATCACGAAATACCAGAGCATTATACGTGGGAAACTAGACAGCATATTTGGCGTCCGAGAGTACAGGTGGCAAAGATGTTTGGGTGCATGGTCGAGGTGTCGCCGTTAGATTTGGAAAAATGGTGTTTACGTTTGTTGTTGTCGCACGTGTCGGGAGCCACGTCTTTTGAAAGTTTAAGAACCGTTGACGATGTCGAATATGAAAGTTTTGAGGCTGCCTGTCGGGCTAGAAATTTTTTACACAATATAGACGAACACGATCGCTGTTTGCGACAAGCTTTATGGTTTCGCACTCCGAAAGGATTTAGAAAATTGTTTGCATTGATTGTTGCGTGGCGGCGGCCTAGGTTGTCGGACAAACTACGGAATTGTGGGAAAGGCATAGAGCAGATTTAATATAGGATTTTTGGAGCAGTATCAAGGACACGATATGTTTGCAGAAACGAGAGGATTGATGGAAATAACAGATTTTTTAAGGACAAATGGCAATTTTACTCTCGCCCAATACGGCTTGCCTGCTGTTAATCAAGATTTAGTAGATTTTTATGAATTACCTTTAGTTAATCACGAGGAAGACGTGCTTGCAGATTTTGTTAGCGACGAAGATAACATCGATGTGCCCGATGATAGAAATGATTTTATAAATATGTTTTATGTTGATGCTCCTGGTGGTACTGGAAAGACGTTTCTTTTCAACACTTTATTAAAAACTTTAAGAATAAGACGATTCGACACCGTTGCCGTTGCATGGACAGGTATCGCTGCTTCTCTTTTGCTGGCAGGAAAGACGGCGCACAAAGCGTTCAGGCTACCGTTGAAAATCACTTAGATTACAGGCCGATAAGGATTTTCAATAGAATCGGAAAGATTAAATTACATTAAAAACGCAAAGTTAATTGTGTGGGATGAGGCGCCCATGTCACCCAAATATGCCATCAGTTTGGTTGATAATTATTTACGTGACATAATGCAAAAACTGAGGATAACGATGGGTGGAAAAATTGTTCTTTTAGGAGGCGATTTTCGTAAAATTTTGCCTGTAGTTCCGCATGGACATCGAACTTAAATAGTTGCCACTTCTTTGAAAGCAAGTCCGCTGTGGTCTTTGATGCGAAAAAATTGCACGTTAACATTCGAGCTGGACCTGAAGAGAGAGAATTTAGCGATTGGTTATTACGTTTGGGTGATGGTAAACTGCCGCATATAAAAATTAACAATGCCAACGACGAAACGATTCCAAAAGATCTCATAGAAATTCCAAGACAATGTTTGATTAGCACCTTTGAACTGCTTTGAAAGACTGTATTTGGCGAAAGGTTTCAACATGCCTCGTAGACATTAGATCGAACCGTATTGTGCCCCCCAAATTTGTCCGTCAATGAAATTAACGATTACGTTTTGAACAATTTACCTGGCGAAGATAAAGTATATGTGTCTATATAGCAATACGAAAACGTCAAAGGAGACGAACTGTATGTTAACCAAGATTATCTCCAGTCTATATCGATAGCTTCTTTGCCACCACACGAATTGAAATTTAAAGTGGGAGCCGTTTGCATGCTGTTGCGAAATCTCGGTGTCGATATGGGTCAATGTAACGGAGCCAGGTGTTAAATAGTCGAGATGAAGGAGTACGTTTTGTTAGTTGAATTGTTGACTGGCACGTGTAAGGGCGAACAAGTTTTACTGGCCAAGATCGAGATGAGTGCGAGCGATTCTGCGCTTCCTAAAGAGCTAAAACGTTTTCAATTTCCCATTCGATTGGCGTTCGCTATGACGATTAATAAATCACAAGGACAGACTTTCGGCAAGATCCGCATTTACTTAAAGAATCCTTGCTTCTCTCATGGACAATTGTACGTGGCTTTTTCGAGAACGGGTTCCTTCAAAAATGTATCAATTTGCGTGGAACTAAACGTGCACTAAACAAGGCAATTTTAAATTTAGAACTGGTCGTTGCTTTACTAGAAACATTGTGTACGAAACGATCGTTGAAAATCTCGAGCCCGTATCGATTGAGCAATTTATTGAAGACGACCTTAATAATCGGGCTTAAGAAGGTGAACCTGAAACTGTTTTAGATTTTAACGATATTGATTTCGATGAAGATTTCTTTAACCAATTAATAATTTCCGAAGAAGAAGACGACGACAATGCTCTTCTTAACAATTACGACATCGTGTGTCCACCGGTGACCAAGCAGGCACTACAGGATTGCGAATGCCAACACCTACCAAACGACCCCGAGTTACCTACAGTGATTCCGACGATTCCGATTAGAGCGATGATGATATTGTTATATTGCTTAGATTTCCGAATATTTATTGTAATTTTAATCATTACTTCCCCGTCAAATTTTTCTGATAGAAATAAAAATTTATTTTCGTTCACGTTTAAACTACTATTAAGTTTATATTTTATTTGTTATAAGAATAAAAATTATTTAATTTAATTTATGCTTATCCAACTAAATTTAAATTTTATCTGTTGTAAGAATAAAAATTTAATTTGATTTTTGCTTATACTATTAAATTTAAAATTTGTGTTAAGAGTAAAAGTTTAATTTCCTTTATGCTTAAACTACAAAATGTATATTTTTAACACGTTCATGGACAGGACCACGGCGTTCTCTATACATATAGAGAACGCCGTGACAGGACTGCAAATGCCGTCGGGCCCAATATGACACGACGGCTATAGCAGTCGCAATTTTCTAGCTGATGCAGGCGCATTAATAATGAGATCCATAGGAAGCTCTGACATATGTGTCCCATGAGACCTCATGTATTTTTGGTTGCAGAATGTAGTTGTTGGTTGCAAATTAATTTTTATATGAGTATCTGTTAAGCGCGATTTTTAACCTAAAATTCGGCCGTTTTTGTGACATATTGTTGTTAGGTGGAGTAAAAATTTGATTGTTGTGAGGTGGAGTAAAATTTTGATGTAACAAAGCTAGTAAGTATAAGTTTTTGAACAATTATATTATTTTTTATCACTATATAACTTCTATAACTATATTTTTATCGTTAAAATGTTTTTTCTCGTCCTAAAAATGCAATTTCTTTTTATAAAATAAATTTTATATTATTTATAGGTATTTTATAACTTATAAATTATAAGTATTTATAGGTATATACCGTACCTTCATTTGCAAGTTATATATACATAGGGAAAATACATTGTAGGTGGAACAGACAAGTCGAAGTGGGCGCTGTCAGCGCGAAACGAAAATGTTCCCAGAAATTATTTCGACAGTGGATGAGTAGACTAACATGCGACGTAACAGGTGACCTTGTTTACTGGCGATTAAAATTTTATTACGTCCAAATAATTTCTGAGAACTTTTTCGCTTTGCGCTGACTTGTCTAGTCCACCTACAATGTATTTTCCCTATGTATAGCTTGCAAATGAAGGTACGGTAGAGTGATATTAATATCTCACGGCGGTTGACCTTGAGAGACACTATAATATTAAAACAATTATAATAGAATTTGTAGCCTAGAAATTTTTCTAAATATGTCAAAAAATATCAGCATTCTAGGCCCTGTGTAGTATGTGTTTAGGTCGGCCCGATTTGACGGATTTGAGACTTTTGCGCACCGAAAGTCATCCGCCATGAGATATACCTGTAGCGTTTGGTCAGCTACCTGTTTTACTTTGTTTGATTTTAATATTCATTCAATTCTTAATATTGAATTTAACATACCATTAATGGATTCTGTGTTGATTAGTATTGATTAAGTTTGTATTGGGTTTTACTGGGGGCGTGAGGGTGTAGCGTCAGGTCTTTAAAAGGTCATTGTAAGGGTGACATGGCGAGAAGGATAGATTGGAAATCCATGATTATAGAAGTCATCCAATAAGTTTGATAAGATATTTTGATACGAAAACCGAGTTAAGGGATTGGATGATCTAGTAAGATTGTTGGATTTAACAAGTTTAGTTGGAAAACACAGACGTCCAAGTTTCGCCATGTGTATTACACTTACACATTGTGTAAGTTCATTTTCAATTATTCTAATTCGTAGTCAGGCTCGTTTTTAAGACGAAGTGTTGTAGCATGCACATTTTATGCTACGTGTTTTTAATCAAATAAACCATTTGTAGTCGTATTTTTATTTTAGTTTCATGTAATATATTATTTAAACATTTTACGTAGGATCAACCCGTGATGATTCCAACTTTAGAAGAACACTGCTTTGGTGTAGTTTTATCCTTAGATAACAAACTTTTATCTAAAATAAAGATTTATAGTAAGGAAACACGTTATTTAGGGCTGTACTTATTATGTTTGACGTTCAGTTAAATCTGCAACGATTAAGCATTAATCACTTACAGTTATAAATGCTACGATTGTGTTTTCAAATGCTCCACCGTACTGTAGTTTGGGAGACCCATGTTTGTTTAACTTTTGTTTACAGCCCGGCCGGATGTTACTTCAGTGAAGACAAGCAGCGTCGAGCCCCGTTTTGTTCCTAGATTTCCTTATAACTTTAGTTTGCCAGTAAATTCCATAGAATTTACCTTAAAACGAACAAATGTATCTATGTGGTTATCAATCTTACCTTTAAGTTACCTTGCTATTGTATCTGTTTGAGCGTTAGAGGCACTTATTCTATCTTGCTAATGTCTCAAAGTTTCTTTTAAATATGCCATGTAGAACATTTGTTTACTTTTGAAATGTCAAAACCGGTCGTTAACCGGGTTGCCTATATTTTTATTCAGTGTTTTAAATTAAATATATTTCTTTGTTTTCCTTCATATGTAATGGTTTTAGATCTAGTTTATTTAAATTTTAATATATACCTTTTTCAAATTTCATTTTTAAAAGTTTCCTCGTGTGATTGGTCGCGCATGCGCGGGAAAGTCCAATAGGAATTTAAATTCTTCTAAGCTTCCTTTCCTGTTTGACCGCCAGACGAGCAATATGTCGATTTGACTTAAGTTGAGTGTTAAAAGTTTTTCAAGTGTAAAACCCAGTTAAAACGTGACGAAAGGGTCCAGAAGAGACACTGAAGAGCTCGATGATTGCGTAGTATCTGGGGTCTTGTCGACGTTTAAAATACTGAGAAAAACGCTATAGCGTGCTCCGCCATAACCTCAACTTGGTGAGTTAATCGATGTTTATTCGGACCATCGGTCCCTAATCCTATAATTTTCTAATTTATATCAGGCTCGGATCGACATGTACATAATCTTGACGTAGTATTTTGACTATATTTCCCGGATTTGACTAGCACTTATTATAATGTGTGTGCTTGGCCTTGACAGTTTTCCCTCTCCTGCAAGATGGTAGGAATGACGTTTACCAAAAGCCAGATAAATTAATCTGTAAGTACAATTAGCGTTGATTGGGTTTTTTCCAATTTTTATTCTCCTTTTTAGGGCTTTTACCTTATGTTGAATTTTACCTTATGGTCAATTTTACCTTATGTTGACTTTTACCTTAAGGTTAACTTTTACCTTAAGGTTAACTTTTACCTTACGGCTAGCTTAACCAGATAAATTGCTATTGCCTCACAGTTAGCTTTTATGAACAGTACAGCTACTGTGCCCTCACGATTTTGACTCGGCCTGACGCCACCTCCCTGATTTGACGACCTACAACCCACCAGAAAACCACACCGCTGTTTGTCCTCACAGAAGCCACCAGCCGGAGCAAGAACAACCAACCGCTCACTGGAGGATGTAAATTTGAGTATACTATTTTAAACCTTTAAATATTGAACTGTGTCACTATATATTTTTGTTGCGGCTTAAAAGCCGACTTTAAACTTGGTTACGAACACCTTATTTTTTATTTTAATGTGAACCGACGATACGTATCAAAGGTAGAGTTGTTTGGTTTTACATGGGTTATATACCAATATTTTACAACAGAATTTAATAATTTTGACAAATTGTTTAAGATTAAACTTCTTAAATTATACATTTTATTATAGTATATCCTCTTTAAGTTTACATACCTTCAAACACTTTCAGCGTAAACTAAGTTAGATTAAATGACCGGTCTAATTTTGCAGTTTCCTACAAAAGGTCAATTGGCGCCCACAAGGTAAGCTATTGTACACTGACGCAATTACAAGAATCTTTATATACTGTTTTTGTTTTTTGATTTAGACACGTCACGATCTATTTATGTTTTTTTAGAACCCACTTAACTTAAACCCTGCTCTCCACTGCATTAAACAAAAAGCTGCCGTACGCATAAAAAGTCGTGGATTAAAAAATAACACGCCACAGTGTGTACTATTTTAGCACCCAAAATATTATAATCTAGCCAGGCGACACAAATGCCGTGTTGTTAGTTTTGGTTGGTGTTGCTGTCCAGTATTACTATCGTGTGTCCAGCAAAACTCCGAATAGGGTGTGTATTGAAATAATCTTTTAGTTATTTTTCTGTTTTTTCAAGTTTATTATATAATAGAACTACAGTTCTTATTTGGGGGGGTTACAATTTTTATTTTTTTTATAGCGCCTATTTTTTTTCAACATACATATTAACAACATTTGTAAATCAAAGATAGCTATCTACGATGTCTTTTAACAAACTTATACAGTGATAAATATCTACAATATATCGTTAACAAACTTATACAGTGATGAATTTAGGTGTAATATTTTATTATTCAATTAATGTTGATTTTATGTTAATAAAGAACTGGCGTTTTTATTGCTACTGTTCTTGCCATTATACCATATCAAAGCTCTATTATTGTCATATTTATAAGCAATGTGTATCTTTAAGACTTAGGATATATATATATATATATATATATATATAAACGGCAGGTACCTTGTTACCTGCTATGGAGTCAGTGACAAAAGAATTGTTGGATGCGATTGAATTATATAGCGAAATTGTAGACGACGCAGAAAAAACGTTTCTTATAAAATATGTTTTAAAAAGTAAATTGACCAAAAACGCAAAATTAAGGCTTAAAACAAGTTATACAGGGGTAGACGAATTAACTAGGGATATAAAGGCTCAATTACAAACCGTTAAGTCGGCTGCTTGATGGTGAGCTAAAAACTATAGGTTTGTTCGGGTTCGCGAAATGATCGGTTAAGAACTGTCAGAATCATGCGAAATTTGCGTTCGGGTTTTTTTAGAACCAGTTTGGAACTGGTGAATATCGTGTTTTGGTTTCTTTTGTGGACGATTCAGGACTGGTCCAGAACCGTTCAAACTAATACGAGCTCAGAGTGCGTACTCTTTAGGACGGTTTTCGTGGCGCCTGCGCATTGGACTCTCACGTTTTAATTTATGTTTATATACTTATAGCGTTGAGTGATTTAATCAAGGTTAGGTGCTTTTATTTTGGTTTTTCGCATTTAAACATGTCCGAGCACAAAATACCTTTGATTAATTTTCTTTATGAAAGTTCACTCATAATATTAATAATGTTTATTGTGAAAAGAAAGAAGGTACATTTCACAATTGGCAAGACTTCGGCAAAGCCGATCTTCCACTCTCCCTTGTAACATTTTAAGTACATGAATAACTAAATTATTTTTATAGCAATATAATACATAAACAAAATCTTACAACAATATAAAAAATAAAAAAATATTAAAAATAAACAACAATTTAAAATTCTTTATTCTTGAATGTCTAACTGCAAATTTTGTATAAGCGACACCTACATGGGATTTTGAAAACCACCGTAAGCGTTTTGGTTTTTCAATATTTTACTAAAAATCCAGAACGGTTTAGAACCTAAAACTACTGCGACTACAGTTCTGCTAGGGACTACAAGAAGCTGAAGGATGCTGTAACCGGTGCAAAATATGAGGAAAAATCTCGTGTTACGTTGAATAACTCATCCAGTGTGTTTCATATGCGTAACAAGCAATCATCTTTTATGCGTTCTAGAGGTCACTATAACCGTGTAGTGTTGTCACTTTTTCAAAAAAAAATGTTTTTTTTAGAAAAAAACAGAGGTCCTTGTTTTTTTTCAAAAAAATTGTCAAAATTACTCAAATTATTTAAAAAAAATATATTAAAATAAAAACATAACCAACATTCTAACAAAAAAAGGTAAACAAACTTTTTTAAAACAAATAAAATAAAAATTAAGTAAATTCTTTAAAAATATATAAACATTATAATAATTAATCTGATTGAGATTCAAAGTCAAGCTCGGACGATGTGTCATGTAAACTAAATGATGAATCGTCCGAGCTTGAGCTTTCTTTCTCATCAGATTTGTAAGCATCTATAGATTTACAATTAGAATTTGTCGTGTTGAACTTTAGTTCAAGTGAATGAAGTGTACATATGTTAAAAAATTGCGTCCAATAAGTACCTAATGAATTTTTAATCCATTTTTTAGTTAACAAATTTGTTTTTGCATCAAAATATATTAAGTGACGGGATTTTCGAAATGTCACTGCTGAGGAAAGAATTTTAGGCACATTCTGTCACTAGAAGAATATTAAATACTAATTATAGTTTCTAACTTACCATTAGTAATATTCTTAAACAAATTGTTTAACGTTGTTGGCTTTCGCCCTGAGCCTTCTCTTTTCGGCATTTCTACCAACTATGCATCAACCTATAAAGCCGCAGGTCTTAACTCTTCTATTATAATACCGTATAGACTATACGATATGCTGAGTCAGCATTGCCGACAGCGAGGCGCCCTTTTACCATACGTGGGTGGGGATGAAAAAAAACAACTTTTGTTTTTTTTTTCAGTGAAAAAAAACATGTTTTTTTTCACGTGTTTTTTTTTCAACTGAAAAAAAACGTTTTTTTTACAACACTATAACCGTGGGATTCGCGGTCGAGCATCGTTTAGTAGCAACACCAGAAATAATATTAGGTCGACATAATCAAATAGTAGGTCAAATTTTAATAATAATTACAATCAGCGCGGTACGCAAAACTATGGGCAGGTACGAAGTCGTGGAAACAATGAACCTACGCGTGGTAATAGTACCCACAATACGAATGGCCGCAGAAGTTACTGCAGGTTTTGATTCAGCGGATAATAGGATAGATGAATGCGAGAATGCGTAGTATAAGATAGTACGAGGTTTTTTCCTCAAAGATAAGTGTAATAGTTTTAGCGTAAATGGATTGAATTTCATTCGTGTAAAATATAGGTTTAAAGGAATTATTATTTTTATGCGATACAGGTTCTTCTTTAACTCGTTAATTTAAGAGCTGTTTTAATAATGACATAGATGTAATTGATACATCAAAACAAATTAGTGTTAAAGGCATTGCAGGTTCAACAAAAACTGTTGGATCAGCAAATGTTTTAGTTTGTATAGGGACGGAAAACATTAAACATGATTTTTTTATTACTGATGATTTTGATCCGGATTTTCATGGAATTTTTGATCTGATTTTTTTTTAAATTCGGTCACGATGAATTCAATAAATCAAACCGCAATTTTGTATCTCTTACTGTTTGGGAGTTAGACTTTGCCACATTAAAAATATAGGTCAACTTTGGAGGCACGCTGAGGCCAAACCCAAATAGCCCCGATATCGAGTAAGACATCGTTTTATGGAGAATTTTTTTACAAACAAAACGATTTACTACACGATATTAGGGCTCATTGTGTTTACCGCACAGCGGGCAAAATGGATGGATGGATTAAGTTTTACATAACAATATTTAATTTATTCTATTGTATTTGCAGCCCCAGTTGAGTAATGCAGTTCAATCCCCATGTGAGGTGTTGGCTGGTCCTGTCCCCTCAGTAAGATTTTAATTTAATTTAATAAATTTTAAACTTGACAACAGTAGGTATTCTATTAGGATTTTCTATGTGTTTTGTTTTAATTGCAGCCATTATCGTCGGACTCGAAGGTTGCTGGCCCCTCCAAGGCGAACGCAAGCAGCTGTTTGGTCCTCTCGGTAACATTTTAATTTAACCCACTATAAGGGACGCATAAGTTATTAGCAATATTTTAATGAGTGCCTCGATGTATCAGATGCATTAGTTTTATGTTTGGTGAAGATATATGTTTAACAATTTAAAATGGATCCGTCGTTATACTCTACAAAAATCATGGGTAAGTTTATTCCTATTGTTTGTAAACAACATAGTTTTTAGTTTGTTTATTTATTCAAACTCGTTATATAGCATTTCTATAATGTCGTAAAGACATAAGCATGCTTGTTTTTATTATCAGTTGTAAAATAAATATCAATATATGTCCCCTATAAGGGACGCTAAGCGGATTATCTTTGGCGCAACTAGTTGATATTTTGGAGAATGAAGAGGATTTGCCTCAGTCCAATATTTATATTCTTCCTCCTGATGATGGGAATAAAACCGAGGCGGATAGTGACAAGTCTGATGATGAGCATGAAGCCAATATAAATCAACTACCTCGCGGAGTTTTATCACAGGAATGTGAGATAACTCACCTCACGGACTCGGAGGAATCTGACCCCGAAGATTTACTTCCTTTAGCCGTTTACACAAAAATATCAAAAAATAATCTAGATATGAAAAAACAAACAAATACTACATACCAAAAATCAACTTGGCGTGAACCTGATACTGAACGACCAAATAGCGATCTTGTTATTACCTATAACCCAAGCGAACATTCAGATGAGGCAAAACTTTCAACTACTCCAGTCGATTTTTTTAAATTGTTTTTCGATGAAAATCTTTTGAAGACTATCATTGATGAAAGTAATAGATATGCTCAGCAAAAAAATGTGGAATTGGACTTGACCCTAAATATCCAAATCGAAGACTCTATTGGACCGTTGACGATTTTCCTAAAATACTGCAAAACAGCATGCGACGAAATCGGTTCGAAACAATACCGAAATATTTTCATTTGAATGACAACTCAAAATTACCCCAAGACGACAGGCTGTATAAATTAAGGCCTTTGATAGAAATGAAGACCTTGGTGCAAAAACCGGACAAGTCCATTTTTGTGATAAGCAAACATGTTTTATTTTTTTATTACTTAACATTGTAATTAACACATTTTTGCTTATCACAAAAATGGACTTGTCCGGTTTTTGCACCAAGGTCTTCAAATTCTAAACCTAAATTTCAGCACGGTTTTGATGAGCACGTGTCCATTGACGAAAGCATGGTGCCATATTATGGCAAACACTATGCCAAACAATATACTCGTGGAAAACCCATAAGATTTGGCTACAAGAATTGGGCTCTTTGTTCTAGTAGTGGATACATGTATGGGTTTGAGATATACACAGGAAAAAACCAAAATAAAGTTTAAAAAATGGGATTGGGAGCAGACGTAGTACTGTCTTTACTGGAGCCAGTCCAGTTACCATCTAATGCAGGTCATAAAATATTTATGGACAATTACTTCACGGGTTTGCCCCTCTTCGCCCATTTGACAAAAAAAAATTATTGTGCCACAGGCAGAAATGTCCTATTCCAACTAAAAAGGAATGGAATAATCAGCCCCGGGGAAGTTTGAAATTTTATCGAAACGACAATAGTAATCGTGTACAATGGAAAGACAACCGAACCTTGGGATATCTTAATAGTTATTTAAAATTCGAAATTTAAAGGAATACACGCTCATTTAACTTTTTTTATGAATAGTTCTATATCTAAAAGTGTTACCGATCAATTATTTCAATTAGTTAATGGTAATACAGTAAATGAAGTAATTTTTTATGTTTAGTAATTAAGAAATATTCTTTAATTAATATAACTGAACCTTCTTTGGATAAACGTTCAGATGTAACAATTTTTGTTAGTCATGAAAAAATTAAGTCTATTGGATCTTATTTAAATTACTTAAAGAAAGTTATTCAAGTTATAATAGGTTCATCAGAGGAAGTAGTTGCTATTCATTTGCAAGCTATACATTAGGAAAATACACTGTAAGTAGTTATAAGAGCGGGTTTCAGCGCCAAAGTCGATGGCATGTGTTACCTTTCAGGATTTTCAGTGCCGAAGAAGTGTTTTTCAGGATGTCTTCGGCTGAATTTTAGGTACGGGGTCATACCGACGCGTCGGTATGTATTTACTTTTAGTCGTGACAGTTGTAAAATTTCAAAATAAAGTGTATTCACCAGACTTCGTGAGCTTAAGTTCTTTTAAGAATAACCAAAGTATACTGCGGAATAACTATGTGTGATAAGACGGTACTTTTTTGAGAATGCAGCCGGAAATGGGGTAACAGTGAATGGTGAACGTTATAGTGAAATGATAAGAAACTTTTTATGGCATGAATTGGATGCCATTGAGGTGGAAAACATGTGGTTTCAACAAGATGAAGCCACATTTCACACAGCGGTTGAAACAATCGCTTTAGTGCGGTCTAAATTTCCTGCTCGTGTTATCTCACAAAACGGCGGCATCAATTGGCCACCGAGATCATGCGACATAACGCCGCTAGACTTTTTTCTTTGGGGTTATTTAAAGAGCAAAGTTTACGCAAACGATCCACAAACGATTACACAGAAACTATTCGACAGGCTATTGGCGAAATTAATATCAATTTATGTGAAAATGTAATCCAAAACTTTAGCAAAAGAATGGGGTCCTGCCACAGAAGCCGAGGAGGTCATTTGACGGATATTGTTTTTTATGTTTAAAGGCAATGTTTAAACTTTATTTTGAAATAAAAATATCATGCTTAATTAAAAGTAAAACGTGTTTTATTTATAAAAATAAATTTATACCTCTTATTGCAAATATTTTAGCAGGTTTTTGATGACCTCATTGTCAATAAAACCAATAGGTTTGCCATTCAATATATTATAAATAATAATTACAAAATCAAGCCCAGCTCCAGAGTAAGGAAAATGTAAAGTAAAACTTTGTAACGTTACAAATAGTAACGCTACATGATTTAATAAATAGAAATAAGTTAAGCACTGTATAAGTATAATTTAGTTTATTGAGTACACACCTGTTCATACTGTATATCGCATATCGGCTTGGGAGTATTGTATTTTTATTTTTTGAATATTATTTGGGGGTCTTTAGGTCGCTGGCTTCATGCCATGCCTAAAAGAGTACGTTTATTTTAGTTTTATTGATAACCAGGAAGATCTTGGTACATTTTTTAGGTTACGACTGTATTTACCTTTTAGTTATTGTTTTGATATGTGTAGTATGAATGTGTTAAGTAAATGAGTGTAGGTGAATTATGTGGGTGCTCCTGGGTCTCCTTTGCGTTTAAGTTTATCTAGGGCTCTGGTAATCCTACAACATTAGTGTACTTTAGAATAGGTTAAAGGGGGTTAGAATAAGTTAGTTATATTTATTATTTTCATAAAAAAACGTTACTTACTTTTATTTCATGTAGGGTTTTATATTTGGAAAGTTTGTTTGTCAATTTTGGTAGATTGAATTATTTCAAATTGCAGGGCTTCTAGTAAAAAAATTGAAAATTTTAATGATATAATGACTTCCTTTTTTAAAAATAATGACAAAATAATGACTTTTTCTTTTAAAAAATGACTATTTTATGACTTTCTATCCTAATGAAAATAAATTTTAAGTTGGAAAATAGTATTAAAACCTCCTTTTAAATAGTTTTATTCTTAATCTTTATTGTTTTAACAATAACAAGATAAAATTAATTAAAATAAATTAACAAATAAATATAAAATTAAAAAAATTAACTTAAAAGAATTAGCAAATTAATTGGGGTTTCAATTTATTTATTTAATTTTTACTTACATTATTACATATTTTTAATGAAAAAAACGTTTCGCTCTCGAGCTCTCGCCTTTTAGGTTAAGCAAAACAATTAAAACACGCACTCTTTAGAAGAAAATGGCGGGAGTGTGTTTCATGAGACACAAGAATGAAAAAAAGAATGAGAGCAACAAAGAAAGAATTATATTTACAACTTTTTAAAAGTAATAACAGGTGGCACCAGCGCGGCACTACCAGTGGTGTAGATTAATAAATTAAAGTGGCGTAGATTTTCCATTTTATTTTTGTATTATTTACCAAAAAAATCTTATAAACATTAAGTAAGAACCTAAAATAATGATCAAAAATGACCAATCCCTTCAAAAAATGACATTAAATGACCACAACAGAAAAAAATGATTTTTAATGACTAAAATGACTTGCTAGAAGCCCTGAAATTGTTTTGATGTTGTTTTGACATTTTAACCGGTTTAGGGAATTTCGGTGTTTGGCAACTGTTTCTTGGGAATGCATTCACGAAGGGCCATGGCTCTAAGGTTGGTTTAAGTTTGTTTGTATTCACTGCGTTGCTCATTAATTATATAATTTTGTTATATATTGCGGAGTGCGCTATTTCTTAAAAATATTACAATAATTAAATTGTACGTTGGTAGCATTGGTGTGGGGATACTGCGTATAAGGGGTTTGTTCCGGAGTAGGGGAGAACCAACAGGTAGAGGCGGGCAAATGGCCGGTTTTCGGGTTAGATGATTTGTTAAATCTAACTAAAGTGTAATTACGATTCGTTTAGTAATTAATTAGTTGTTTGCTTATAATACCAAGTTATCGCAATTAGATAGAATAGTGGTTGCAGTGGTCTCCTGAATAATTGAGTTTTTCGTTATCGAGCAGCGTGGTGAGTGCAATCAAATGTATATTCCAACTTCTTCTAAGTCATCCTATTTAATAGTTTGCTAAATAGCTATCTAAAGTACGTGTGGAATATTCCATCGACCTGGGAAGGTCTTATTTTTAGAATTTCATCGAAAAAACCGGAGAAACTCCGTAAGTATTTTTTGTTGTGGTAACCAATTTTTGATTCGAAGTATTAGGGTTTTTTCTTGGAGGCACATTTTCTGGAAAGGGTATTTCTGGTCTTCGCTTATAGCTGTAGCGAACTAATTAGCCTGTGGGATTTTCCTTTGAAAGAGTTCTTGATGGAACGGTCAACCTGGTGTTGGTTGTCCCAAAGATCGCTTTTATGACAGCACCCATGGAGCACGAATAGCCCCATGCATCCAGGAGCCTGATCCAGCCCTCGAAATGAGTATACCAGAAGTCCAGTCCCCCTACTCGGGATACAGGTTTTTTTCATCATTATTAAATTTTTTTTATTGCCAAAACTGCGTTGCAGTAAATTATATAACCATTTTTAGTCTAGTGTAAACCAATAGCTATTCGGTACTGATTTTAACATTCTAAATACTAAAGTTAATATAATTTGCAAAGATCCGCCCTGTATAACACATACATGACGTGCATTTTGTCGCTCCCAAATAAAAGTGCATAATTCGTAAAATTTTCGAGATACAGACTCAATGTGATTGTGATGTGCAGTGCCTAAACTACCCCTGCAAGTGGAGGTAGCCCCATCGGACGCTTTTTAGTGCCGAAATTTCGGACCATGTGCCCGATCTGACCAAGCCTCACAAGCGAGGCTGGAGAGGACGTGGGATCCCGCAACTGGAAACCCACCCCTATATGCACCCCCCTGGAGAGGATCAGCTCTCCAAAAACAACTCAAGTAAGCCCAGGGCCTTAGAATCTGGAATTTCCAAAAGTAACAGCGTGCAGAGCTCCCCAACACCAACGCCATCTAGTGGACAGAAGCCAAACTCCCCGCCCTACAATGTAGATCGCGAGATAGAAAAACTAGTAAAGAAGCTGGGGACACCTTCACCCAGCTCCATTGAAGTAGGCAGCGACAAGGAAAATCGCTCTACTTTACATCAAAAACCGTACGACAAAGAAAATCGTGGTTTTACAATCACATCTGCCACAGGAAAATCCGTAAGACTCATTAGTAACTTCCAACTCTCTAACACCTTGGGAAGCATTACAGATTCCTATAACAACCCGAGACAACAACCAAATAAGCCCGGATCAGAACCAGAGGCCGCAGATTCCGACGCCGCAGAGAGCAGCCATCTCTAGCGACCAAAAGCAAAAAGAAGAAGAAGTCCAAAAAGCGTACTACCCCCTACAATCACGGCAGTGACACGGATTCCAGCATCCAGCTCCGCCACGCCGACGTAGACAAGCGAAAAAACAAAAAACCAAAACCAGGCAAAACTGCATCCCCAAGTATGGACCTAAAAAAACTACACCAAGTCCACGTAGTCGGCGAAGACCAGAACACTAGGATAGTACCAATGGACGACTAAACCTTGAGTTTAACTTAATGACCACAACCTTAGGTTATTGTACTCTTTAAAGTTGTGGTGGCGCCCAGGCCATAATGTAAGTATGGGAAATACAGACCTACAGACCTTTGCTCCTAGACACGAGAGCTGCCGGAGCATATAACCTATCCCAAGTTGGTTATAACTTTAGCAAAAGAATGATGTCCTGCCAAAGAAGCCGAGGAGGTCATTTGACAGATATTGTTTTTCATGTTTTATGGCAATGTTTAGAACTTAATTTTGAAATAAAAATATCATGTTTAATTAAAAGCAAAATGTGTTTTATTTATAAAAATAAATTTACACCTCTTATACCAAATATTTGAGCAGTTTTTTGATGACCTCATTGTCAATAAAAAAACCAATAGGTTTGCCATTCAATATATTATAAATAATAATCACAAAATCAAGCCTAACTCCAGAGTAAGGAAAATGAAAAGCAAAACTTTAGCAAAAAAAAGATTTCCTGCCAAAGAAGCCGAGGAGGTCATTTGACAGATATTGTTTTTCATGTTTAATGGCAATATTTAAACTTTATTTTGGAATAAAAATATCATGCTTCATTAAAAAAAATGTGTTTTATTGATAAATTAAAATTACACCTCATATTGCAAATATTTAGGCAGTTTTTTGATTACCTTATTGTCAATAAACCCAATAGGTGTGTCATTCAATATATTATAAATAATAATCACAAAATCAAGCCTAACTCCAGAGTAAGGAAATTAAAACAGACTGATAAAGACATAATAAGGATCTTGATAGGAATAATGACATCATTACTTCATCCAGCTCCTGGATGACTTCGTCCTTCAACTCATCTTTAACAAAAATCGGTACGGCGGTTTTATTTGCCGTTCTTTCTTCAATGGAGTATACCATTTTGAGAATACGTTGTAAGGTTCACAATGTTAAACAAAAAAAGTTCAGAAAGCTAAACTGATAACGACTTATTGAACAGAGCAATAGGCATTTACTAATTATTCTTGATACCTGCATTTAAATTAATCAGTGTGGCGGGTGCGCGCGTTACCATGGCAACCTCATAAAAAAATGTCATGCATGCATGTACTTTGAACATTAAATTCTTTAATTTACAATTTTGTTGTTTTTTTTATTCATCAAATTTAAAAATTCAAATAGCAATTTCTCCAAAACTAACTAACAGATTTAAAAAAAATTACAGAACCTTATTAAGAATTAAAAGACCTTTAAAATGATATATCACTCAACCCCCCTTACAATTTAAAATTTAGAGGGCGGGCGGGGTGGAGCGTGTAGGGGTGCGGGTGGGGGCGTGAAACATACATCAAAATTCGTCCCCCTAAAAATAAAAATTGACGTGTCCAAGGAATTTTGTCCACACTCATCCGATAAAACGTTTGGGGGGGTACAAGTTTTCGTTGGAACACCCTGTATATATATATATATATATATACAGGGTGGTCCAGGTTATAGTAGCAATAATTCACCATTCGATAGTCCATCGAAAAATAAGTCGACATGCATGGTAATTTTTTTCTCCAAAACCCCTCCTAAGGGAGATACAGCCCTTCAAAGTTGAGTTTTAAAAATCTTTTTTTTGCCATAACTCTCAGGAAATAAAAGAGTTTTTGACCAAATTTGGTACAAGTACTTATGAAATAGGTACTCGTTACCTGACGTAAGTAACTTTTGTCAAAATTGTCCAGTGACGTAAATACAGGGGGGTTGTTTCACTTTTTCCACCCCATTTTTTACGCCACTGGATATTGGTTTAAATTGACCTATTTTTCTAATTCCTTGTTCAATTTTGAGAAAAAAAGCCACTCTTGTCAAATTTTGATTTAAGGCTTTGTTTACAAGATAATTGAGTTTTAAAAAAAACATACAGTCCTGCAAAGTTTTGTCAAAATTGTCCATTGGCGTACATACAGGGGTTGTTTCACTTTTTCCGCCCAGGATTTCACTGAAAAATAACTCATTGCATTGTTTTATTTTCTTCAAAACTTCCTCAGAAAAGACATAAAGCCCTTCAAAATTCAATTTTAAGATTTATCTTTTTTTTTTATCTCATATCGTTTAAGAATATTTGATTAAATTTGGTATAGGTATTTAAAATAGGTAATGAACACTTGACGTATTTTTATTTAAAATTATCAAGTGGCCTGATGCGCTTTATCCAATAAAATTAGGGCGGCACCACTCTAGTATGCAGGGGCGTATCGAGGCACACTTTTTATTTTTTTATCGATACTTTAGTAGTAATGGTAAAAAATTTCAGTAGTTTTATCATGAATGTAAAGTGTTGTAAAGTGTAGATAAAGAATGTCTTTACCTACCATTAGCATGCTCTTTTGAAGTCTCTATTTTTTTTATTTGCTACCAATGTAAGTGGATTATTCGGAACAGTAACAATTTTAATTTTAACCAAATTTCCACCGTGAATATTTTTCTCGTGCATTTTTTTCTAGTCCTTGTTAAACACAGATCCACATAATGAGCATTTTACTAGAACTCGGCCCGGTCTAGCTTTCTTTTCCATATTAAAAAAAAATTAATTCCTATTTATTGACACTAGTTTTACTTAGCTTAGATAAGCTTCAACTAATTAATAATTTAGAAAGACAAAGCCGCGAGGCGGTGCCGACTTTGTACATGCCGCTTGTGTGAAATATAATGTCCTTTAATAAAAATAAGGTTGACCAATACAATTTTCTTGACGGTAACGTTTATAGGAGGTTACAATAGATTAAAAATTATAATTTTGTAATACGTATGTAGGTAAAGTTTAAAAATTATATTTCATTTTATTTATTGTGATGGGTTGGTTGGTAGGGTAGGTATACCCAACCAACCGACCCAAATACTATAGATTTTGCCAACCGTGTTTGGATTTGGAACCAACTGTCAAGACTTTGGGGGGGTGACTCCCCCCCTACACCCCCCTTAGGCCCGGCCCTGCTAGTATGAACTGTCAGTCTTAAACAACTGAAACAGCTGTCAGAGTGTTAATAAAGGTTTTCTATTATTTTGTACAGTCTGTTAAAATATTTTAGAGTTAATACAAGTATCCTGTAAACATAAATATGCCTTTTCGATTCACGAACCAAGAATACGCCGATATTCACTTCATTTATGGATTTTGTGATAGGAACGCGTTGCAAGCAGTTCAAGAATATCAAAGGCGTGAAATCCTGGGCGGAAAAAGTGAAACAACCCCTGTATCTACGTCACTGGACAATTTTGACAAAAGTTACTTACGTCAGGTAACGAGTACCTATTTCATAAGTACTTGTACCAAATTTGGTCAAAAACGCTTTTATTTCCTGAGAGTTATGGCAAAAAAAAGATTTTTAAAACTCAACTTTGAAGGGCTGTATCTCCCTTAGGAGGGGTTTTGGAGAAAAAAATTACCATGCATGTCGACTTATTTTTCGATGGACTATCGAATGGTGAATTATTGCTACTATAACCTGGACCACCCTGTATTTACAGTGCGGACGTTAAAAGCCCCCCCTTGTTATCTTTTGAAAGAAAAAAGGTATCGACACCAGACAAAAACCATTGTCAAGGGCATTAAGAATACTACTTTTTGACGTTAAATTGATAGGTGCCCATTTAAGGAGCGCCAAGAGGGCAGTATCAACTTAAAAATTTCAAAGGGAAAGGGGGGCTTGTGATACCTTATTTAAAAGGTATTTCGATTCTCTATTCGATGCAATTTAAATTTTTAAAATCCGTTTAACGGTTGCTAAGTAATTGAGCATTTCAGTTTTTCAAACTAATACATTTTCTTGCCGCCCTAGGCAGCTACATACGTTGCCTGTTCGGTAAATCCGGCCCTGGCGGTGCGAATTATCGTAAATCTGTATCAACTTTAATTTTTTTTTACACTTTTTCGTTTTTGTTTTGTAAAAAAAAACGTACCATTGTAGTTATAAGGCGGTTTATAAAATAATTCTACTCTTTAGTGTAACACTATTTATCAGTTGTGCCTGCAATTTTACTTATTATTTCATTGGAAAATGGTTAGCGCTCGCCCGTTGGAAGAAAAAACAGAAGCAATTTTTATTTATGCTGAAGTTGGACGTAATTTACACCAAGCAGAGAGGGTATTTAATGAAAGGTACCCAGACAACCCTATTTGCAGAAAATATCTACGGAAGTTAGTGACTAAATTTCAAACAACTGGAAGTTTGAGTAAGCAGAAAGGATCGGGTAAAAAATCAATCTCAGAAGACAAACAAATAGAAATAGTCGGTTCCGTCGTCAATAATCCACAACAATCGACGGCGGCACTTGCAGGGGATTGTGATGTAGCAATATCAACTGTTAAAAATATTAAAAAAAAACAAATTTCATCCCTATAAATTAAAAATATTACATCAACTTACTGAAGATGACCCCGATCGCAGAGTACAGTTTTGTGAAGTTATGTTTGAGCGCATAATACAAAATCCCCTGTACTTGCAATCAATTTGTTTTAGTGATGAAAGTACTTTTTTCCTAAATGGCAATCTAAATCGGCAAAATGTACGTTACAGGTCAGATGTCAGAAAAAGTCAATGTATGGGCGGGACAACTGGGAAACCATATTGTAGGACCCATCTTTTTGGAAGGAAATTTAACAGGCATCTTGTACTTAAACATGCTTCAAACACAAATTCATCAAATGATTCAAGATAAAGTTCAAGCTAATCCTGACGAATTTGACATGGAAGTAATATTCCAACAAGATGGAGCGCCCGCACATTATTTTAGGGATGTTAGACTGTGGCTTGATGAGACTTATCCAAATAGGTGGATTGGTAGGCGT